ATTGATATGACTTAATAATACCGCATATCGATGAGCATTAGGAGAATCATCATTATTGCTTTATGCATTTGCAATGATCTTCTTGACGAATGGAAGTGAAGTGAATGCATGCGAACGAATGAAATGTGTCACACAACTAAATGAATTAATAAGCATTGTTTCTCTTGAAATATACATTCGTTGCTTTTCAGTTGTTTGCGATCTTCTTACACTCGTACTCCTTTTCTTGTTCCGCAATCTTATTTGAAATTATTTTGTCAAATATTTGATTGTTCATGGAATGGAATTATAAAAAGCGAAATGGAGTTTGGTTTATATAAGATGGAACTTTGATTCATGTTAATGGTAGTAACGTTGCTCGATATTGAATGATTTAACAGCTGATTATAAATCATAAAATAAGCCGCTTAAGTGTCCAATAAATCAAATCAGTTTTTTATAATGTATAGTAGCTGATGTGGAAATGAACGAGCAATTAGTGAATTAATTCTTTCACAACAGAAATGTAATAAAATTGATAAATTGAGAGCTCATCAAATTGTCTCCATAAAATGATAACTTTATAGGTACGGTCATTCATAGAATAAGTTTTTTAGCCGTCGGTGAAATTGACAGAAGTCATCACGAAACAAGTGTTTCAAATGAATCCATCAAAACAAGAATGGCGATTGCTCGATTGCAATGCTGTCACACTGTTTGATAAGCTTGGCAATACGCTTATCAGTTGCTGATCAGAACCAACAGCGATCCTTTATCAGCTGAAACGTCATTCAAATTCATCGTGTATTCGATTTATCGAACGAACGCATATCGAATGAAGTGAATATTCGTGTCTGCTTAAACATTATCAAAATTTATTTGACCAATGACGTTGCATTGCGTTTATGTTCAACGTCTGAAACGTTCGATCTTTCAATTTGATCAATTCTTTTGGTCTGAATTCTTAATTTTATTTCACCTTTTCCACAATATTCTTCGTGTTCAATTTTCTTTCCATCGATGAAGTGACTCAAATTGATTTAAGGTGAATCATTTTAAACGATCAACTCGAGCGCGTATACCGTGCATATCTTCAGATGCGATGAATTTCTAAAAGATTTCATTCCTATAATCAAGGCACATTTGCCTCATCAGTGATCTCAGCCCAATTTTTTTCAATAATGATCTGTCACTAAGTGATTTTTCGAGTCAAAAAGTCAGATCGTCATCTTGACTCTTGTCTAAGCCCACATAATGGCTGTTGCACAGTCATATTTTCACGGTATTTCATTCTTTTTTTTAGCGTGTAGGGCGTAAATCCTTCGTAGATTGCACTTGAGAATTCAGAACTGTGTGCACCAACCTGTTATGTGAACGCTGAGAAATTATTGCATGAAGTGAACATTGAGTGGATCGAGATATTCGTTGCAGTCATTAATTTTTTAGTTGAAATTTCTTTGGAACGTATGGTTTTATGACGGTTTGGGACGATCGTTGAAACACTTTTAAATTTTTAACGAATTGCGAATTGAAGATCAGCACCTTCAGCAATATTTGACACTGTAAATTCGTATGCTGAGAATAATTACTTGAGAATAAACAACGCTTGTGTACAGTGACTGCGTTTGAGTGCTCAACGCTAATTGACCGAAATTTTCTTCGTTACACTTCATGTAAACATTGCTTGAAAAAAATCAGACTCAATTAATGAGATAAACACAGTCTTAGAAAATACCCTTGAAACTGTGATATTCTGCATCGAGGAATTTCGTTCTACAACAAATTCTGTTGCATTTTTTCGTAATTCAATTTCCGTCTCGTCTAGCAATTCAATGGTTGGCTAAAGATTGGCCATAATTGCATGAATCATTCTTCACTTGATGAACAATCGTGCACATGCAATGTGTCTTCTTTTTAATTTTTCTGCATTTTTCAGTTCATTCAGGGTTACATTATTTGCTCATTGTATTATTTGCTTGTTGTATTCATTGTTTCATGCACAATTTTCATTATTCTTCACTCATATGTAATATTCTGTTGCATTTCACCGTTTACGTGGATAATTTTCATTGCGTTTTCGTTGAGATTTGCCAACTGGCAGATGTTCCATGTACTTTTGTTTACTTACTGATCACTCTCACCTGCGATATGAATATTCATGCCAATGGTAAAGCAACCTAATGACACGTCCTCAACACACATGCATTGTTGCGTTTCTGTATGAAATATATTTGCTACACGATTAGCTTCAAGCTGAGATCATCCTGTTGAGTCGTTTTGATCGAGCATATGTCATGCATTCGTATATGGGTAATCTGTACATTGTACTGCTTTATGCCTAGAAATTACTCGCAATCATGCATGCTCCACTATTGTGAAGCGTGAATAATGACCGCGGTTGATCGTTGATGTTTCGATGCTAACATTCAACCGCAAAACACATAAACAGTCTGTTGTCATGGTCATGATTGCCATGGAATAATGAAACCCGTACGATGTTACAGATGAATGTCACACTCAACAAATAACCATCAATCATTTCCACATTCATTTCCTAACCAATCTTCCGTATCGCTTATTATGTTCAGTACTATTTCAGTTCATATTATTAGGAAAGCTAAATGCCATACACAACACTATCATACGATTTGTTCCATCAATGCTCATGTTGATTTATTTCATTTATCATTTACAGTCATTAAGTGAAGAATTTTTATTATTCTCCATCATAGCAGAAACTCTTCCATGAGTTCAACAAACGGATTACATATTTGAGTATAGTTTATTGAAATGAAGTGTGGACTCTGAGATGACCCGTTCTGTCAGTACGTTGCTCGTAACGTACTTCTGTCAGTACGTTACTGACTGAACTACTCTTTGATTATGCCATTAATTATCACCAGGATCCTTTGCGTGATTGATTTGCACTTCCAGCCGATCAGATCGCTCTGTCGTCAAAGCCACGTCAATGATTTGGGTATTATGATGTGGCTGCACGAGACTTTATTTCCGAATTCACAATGCATTTCTCTTGATAAATTGTATTCGAGCATTCAGTTTGTTTTCATCGTTTTTATGCCATTCATATTTTTCAACAAAATTCGTAAGAGTGAGAATCACTGACAAGGAATATTTTGTAGATTGACAATGACCAATCGTGATATAATACACACGCCTAGGTTATTAAGTGAAGATAAATGGGAATGTCATTATTTGAAAACAGATTGAAACTTGTTTTAGTTAGTGACGATCTCAGTCAATTCTGATATGTTATAAACGCATTCTATTTGTTTCTCATTGTTGCACTAAAGAAGTACTCGATTCATCACTCGATTAATTGAATTGCACCGTCTTCGAAATTTGGGTGTGTTTATGACAACTTTTGAGTGCTACTTCAGTTTTTGATACGTGCTGCTGTTTGATGTTTTCCGTTTGACGTCAACGGTTTTGAGACGTAAAACAGTAACGAATTCAGACATGCATTCTTCTTTCATGTTTTTTTTTCATGAAGTCTGGTTGCTTTGACTAAAATTCAAACAATTCTAATGATTTTACGGTTACTAGGCTACGCTCTCTTGTTCCTAATTTCCAAATCAATCATGGTAGGTTCGCATGGAAAGAGAGTCGCTCTTGTTTGAAACCTGCCGACAGAATACGTAATTTATTGAATGCGATCAGCTTAGAAACTCGTCAAGTTTATTTCATATTTATGACTTTGTCTTTGTTGCATGCTTTCCAGTACATTGTGTCATCATATCGTTGTTTCAATCTGAAATATTTCATTAACAAAAATACTTTCATTAAAAAATGCTTCATTAATTTTCCACAGCTTAACAAGTCGCGAGCTTCGTGTCGTTCATCACCCAGCTTCCTATCATTTACCTTTCGTTAAATAGTGACAACTTCTCTCAAGGTTACGTAAAATTGCAACGGATGGTCGCAAACCATTCAAGCGAAATTTAGAAAACGAATGGATACAATAGGATGATAATGGATACGACGCATCTATAACATTCAAATGCCCATTGTTATGCTCACATCAAATGACTGTTTTCATAGCGTTTTATTGGCGTTGTTCGTTGGCTATGCTTTTCATTGCTTATTTGACGTTGATCCGAATGTAAACCTATTGTATTCAAGTATTATTCAGTTATATACATCGATACTCAGTGTGATTTTACCTCTAATGACGTGTGTTTGATCGAAAAACGAAGTAGTAGATCGGTTGGAATTCAGCTATTGCAATCTCGAACGATTTTATCGTTACAAAGGTAAACATCAATCTTCTGATAGCAGTGCTATCGTTTGTATTGTTCTGAATTGTTAGCATTACAGATTATCCATGTGCATGTCACTGTGCGTCAAATACTATCAAATTACTGATCTCCAAATCAGTTCTGTTTAGCGCAAAGTCTACTGATAGTGAAAAGTCCATTCAATCATCTCGAATGCATTGCAAAGTTCTCGGATGAATGATTGAAATATTTCAACTTTTTAGTGCGATGTTTTTTTTCAACTTTTTAGTGCGATGTTTTTTTTTGCATTTCGAATTTTTCTTAATTCTAAAACGGTCAGTTCCTTATTACGCTACTTTGGACAATGACGAATGCAAATTACGCCGAAACTGTTATTGAAAGTAGAATTACTGAATATCGCAGATTTCGTTTGGAAATTCATTCAATCATTCATTTATTCATCAACAATAATCGCAATTGCTCTCTACGACCTTTTGTCACCATCAAATTTAATTTTAATCATTGTCCTTCACGATCGTTTTCCGTATTCAGCTAACGACGACGTTCTTCAACCTGAAGAAACTCAATCTTCTTGGGTCGTAAAAAAATTTCTGTTTAAAAACTTCATTATCAAAGAACTTCATCATGGAATTAATTGATCGAACGAAGCGATGAAATTTCAACGCGATGCAATGACTCATGAATAAATTTGCACAAAAAACAAGCACTTGTGTTTGTGGAAAATTTGATTAGTTTGAATTCTGACAGATATTCAGTGTGGAAACGATGAATAAACGAGACGACGATGCGAGGAGTCATTTCAATTCAATAACGTCTTGCATGAGTAATGTGAGAATGATGTTCGGTGCACGCACACTGCAAAGGCGTAATTTCATTCTGAATATATTATCAATTGTGGGTGCATACTGGATTATCTCGACACTCGTATCACTTAATAATATCACTGTATGTTTCATTTGACTGCCATCGCATTCAACAACAATTCACCTCTCTTGATCTTTTCGCTATATCAATTTGCATCCATGTATGCTCAGTTGCAGTCGTCATATTCGATGTTTTGCAGGAAAAGCTATCACCTGAGTTGAAGACAGGTTTAGATGAAAAAGTGGTAAATGATGAGAAAGTGGTTCACAAGAACAATGATATTGAGAGGAAAAGAGTTGAGGATGATAAGAAGCAAATTGAAAAGGATGAGAAAGTAGATGAGAAGATTAATGAAGAGAATGAGGCGAATGCTGATGAGGATCAAAAAGAAGAGAAATCGAATAATTTGGAAGAAAATGAAAAGGTTCGAATTTCTGACTCATTCATTCAAGTTTTTGTCTTTTGATTTATNAACAATGAATTCTTTGAATGCCAAACAATGTGATTTCTGAAAAGCGTTTATCGATATCAGTTTCTGGAGTTCGACTTCATAGACCACATTCAAATCAGCCATCCGTCATAAGAGAATAATGAAGGAAGGGGACGATACACGATGAATGATTATTTACAGCCGAATATTCCACAGCCAGATCGTCGTTTTTATAAGGGCGATAGTCCTATTTATCGATATGGTGATCCAAATCAAGCTGGAGAATTGGGTAAACCAGTTGTAATCGACAAAGAGGTTCATCGCTTGTTCATATCATTCCAAAAAATTGCTTTCAATTCAAAATTGCTTTCAATTCGTATGGTGTATGCTGATATAGATCATCTTTAAATTAATCATCTTATTGTTAAATTTGTTGCTGACCAAGCTATTATATAAAGCACCATCATCTTCAATCAAGACTTTTTGTTCGAAACTGTAAAAATTTCAGAAGTTAACACCAGCAGAACGAGCCAAATATGATGAAGGATTTAAGAGTAATTCATTTAATGAATACGCATCTGATATGATATCTCTGCGTCGTTCATTGCCCAATAAAACCGACGAGTTGTTAGTTTTGAAGT